GACAAGACGGCTATGCCGAGGTAACAATACCTGATGACATGTTACTTCCATCATCTGAAGATCTTATAGCTACTATAGTGAATACGACTTATCCAGAATTTCATAAAATAGCAATGAATTAAGTTATTTGTAGGATCGTGCAATTTTGGCTCCAAAAATAGATGTCGTCGATTCTATAAATGAGTATATGACAATGATGAATCCTAACAGCGAATCTCGAACACATTTTAGTTCTGACAAGGTTGACACTAGCTCGGACTTTAATTCAAGTTTTTTGAGTGACTTACATTCTCTCGATTTCTTGAATAAGATTCGTGCTCCCGGAGTACCAAATCATGAGTTAACTTTGAAGGTAAACACACCTATATGTTGTTGAAAAATATTGATCGTTCATTGGAATTATGTAATGGTACACGGTTGATAGTAACATAATTGGTTAATCACTCAATACAAGGAAAAATATTATCTCGAAGACACATAGTTGAAGAAGTCATTATTCTAAGACTATCATTGACACCATCCGATACGAGAATTTCATTCAAGTTTCAAAGAAGACAATTCCATGTGGTTACTTTGTACGCAATGACGATAAACAAGAGCATGGGGCAATCTCTGAAAAATGTTGGATTATTGTTACGAAAATCGGCATTTAGTCATGAACAACTGTATGTTGCAGTTCCATAAGTAACAAATCGTAATGGTTTGAAGATTTTGATATGCAACGAAGACAATGTTTCCACAAATAGTACGACGAAAGTAGTTTATAAAGAAGTCTTTCGAAATTTGTAAAACAATTAACTTTTGTACCTTAAAATAATAAAATCTCTATATTCTGTTAGATATTAACTTTTGTCCATCAAAAATGATCTTAATTTAGTAATGTAAATATGACCCGTGCAACGCACATGTGTAATACTAGTTATGTTCATAACTAGAGTTTAATTTATAAATTAGTTCATTCCTTATTTTTTCATGTCACTATTTTTACAATTCACATTCATTATTATTTTTCCTTCAACTTTTTAATATAAATAATGCATTTTTTATTTTTTAATCTGCGTGATAAAATAAGAAAATATCATATTTCAAAGTATATTAAAAAATTCAGAGTTCTATGTTTTTATTTCCAAATTAGGACTTATAATGCAAATATAATGTCAATTATGAAAGAAAAAAATAGATTTGATCACATTATGTGACATGTCTGATATTTAAAACAAAATTTTGTAATATATAAAGTGTAATTACAAATATATTATTTTATACGGAGTAATAAATACTGCATAAATAAATTGAGATATATACAACATTACCACCATAACTTTTAAAAATTTATTATTTTAATATATATGCTAACTTTATGTTCTAATTAAAAAAATTGCGAAAGTAGATTTTTTTTGTATGAAAAATGATAACAATTTTTTTTAGCTTAAAGACATGGATTAAGATAATGTGGTTATGAATATAATAGTATTAATACTAATATTAATCATAATATTAATAACAATACTAATAATAATAAATTATAACAATAAATTAACAATAATGGCAAATTTTATTTTTTTTAGATTTTCTAATTTTTTTAGTTCCATCTACTTTCTTTTAGTTTTTTTCAATTTTTCTTAAATTTTTAAATTTCTTCTAACATTCAATTTCTTTTTCCAGTACTGAAGAAAAAGGTCCTAATAAGTGGAATTGAACTACCATATGGAGTAAATTAGTTCTCTCTTCTTACACTCCCCGGGTGCAGTACTTAAGTTTGTACCCAATATAGTTCATAATATCACTATCGTTTTTTCACTTCAGTCAAGACAAAGTCAGAAAAGAATAATAAGCAACTCTATTATGAATATGAAAATTAACGTATTTAGATATTTTTATTTGTCACGGTAGCATTATATACTTTGGTCGGTTTTTGTGTTCAAAAAAAACAAAATACAGCAAGGAATATGTTCTTTGCTACTTGCTGCTTTGTTCACCCCATGCGTGGCCCGGAGGGTGTGCAAAGTGGCCAACCGCACATGTCTCCTTAAAACTTAAGGCATCATATTTTTAAATTTTTTAATAATTTTAAAGCAAAAGTATTCTAAAAATATAAAATAGGGCACAAAATGTAAAATTTGGGACCGGGCCAATTTTATTTTTTTATTTTTCGGGACCGGCCCTGGTTCACCCGCAACTAATTTGCCGTCATATGTAATGCATTCATACTTGGGAAAAAAATTGTAATACTTGATGCTCACTTCCTCATAAAATAAATTCTTCATGTTTTTTTCTCAATACTTAAGTCATGTTCTCTTCACCTGATCAGAATTATTCTGGTTTAATTAGAATAAATTTTGATCTAATCTGAATATAGTTATATTTAAAACTGATTCTGTTCTGATTTCAATAAAAAATAAAAATAATAAGCAATAATAATAACTTGAAGAGAACATGACATTGGTTCTCAAGATGTAGGGTATGAATGGAGTTATGGAGCTAACTCATTTCATATGGCATTATATTTTGGGTACAAAATTGGCGTGAATGTCTGTGTTTGCCGAACATGCCGAAGTATTATTAGGAATATTGTACGGAGTATTTTTTTTAAACTTTTCAAATTAAAAAAATTAAATTCTAACAAAGTGTTCTATACATTACCAATTTTAAACATATTCTTTCAAGCACCGCCAGTTTTCAACGGCAAGAGAATGGCTATTAAAATTTTTTAATTTCTTTATCCTAATATATGGTTTTTTAGTATTCTTATTTTTATTTTCTATTTTCGGTTGATATTTTTTTTATTTGGTATTGTAGTTTCCTTTAAGCCTATGGAAAATATAATTATCATGCTCTTATCGTGTTAATTGAATATTTACACTTTATGTTATGTTAAAACTAATTATAGAACACTCAAAATGTTTCATGCATAATGTAAATACTATTTTAAAATTTTTTATAATTAGTTTGAGTTAGTTATTTTAAAATGGTTGCAGTAAGTTGGCAAATTGATGTATGTATACTGCTTTTAGCTATATGAATAGTATGAAATTAAGAAAACATGATATAGCGTTGATGTAAATGTCAGAGATAATGTAGTAAAAAGTTATATGAGTTATGCATACGACATATCCTCTACTCTTGACACCCGGAGCATAGAATAGTCATGTCGATCACCTCATTTTTATACTGGGTAGAACTTTTTATATACTGATTTCTCGTTCCAAAATTTAAGTATCGTGTTTCATATTCACACAATGTTAACAAGGACTTTGACTTGTCTATTTTACCATTGAAATGAAAGAGAGTGTAAAAAGTGAATGAAAAAATACGAGAGAGAAATTTAAAGTGATTGAAATAAGAGAGTATGTAAAAGTAAATAAAAATACCAAAAAATATTTGAATAAGTAAGAGCAATGGATGGCAATTCTATCCGAATCCGACTTTTACCGACCCGACCGGAGCTTGTAATATCCGAATCCGAACCGAAAAATCAAATATCCGAAACCGACCCGAAAAAAATTAAACCGAACCCGACTTTTGTCGGGTCGAGTTTGAGTTAGTATATTTGACCGACCCGACCCGACATGTACCCGACTTTTAATAAGTTATTAAAATCTTAAAATCCTATATTCCATGTATTTTTGATGTACATATTTTTAATGTTTTAAAACTTATTGCACCTTTTGTGTTTCATTTTTATTGTGATTTAATCGTTTGTGTCGTACATATGTTATTTTCTTTGTAATTCGTATATCATTATTTTAAACTTACTATTTATTTTTTTAAGGGTCATAATTATTTTTGTTAATTTCTTAAATTTATAGTCGTCTTTAAAATTTTAAATTTATTCAATCTTAAAATTTTCATGAAAACTTTTATTCGTATTCAAACCCGAATTTGACCGTAACCGACCCGACCGAATCTTGAACCGAATCCGAAACCGAAAAAATAACTATCCGAAACCGACCCGTCAAAATCAAACCCGAACCCGACCTAAGTCGGGTCGGGTTTCAAGATACTCAAACCCGACCGAACCCGACCCGTTGCCATCCCTGACGGTATATTTAGTGAGTAAGTTAGGCCAAATAAGGAAATAAGACTTTAATTTTGAAACATCAAATTTAGAAAATGAATCTTTAATTCTAGGACAAAGGAAATACTCCGTAGTTTTTAAATATTCATTCCGTCCCCAAACACACTTCAGTATGATAGGTGGACACTACTACCTTGCATTATTATTTTTGAATAGGAGTTACAAATGTATTGAGAGTGTCAATCATGACCATATACATTACCAAAAGATATTGTGAAATGTTCATATACAATGCCACATTACCACAGTGCAAACTTCTAAAGATAAAACATAGAGCTCCTGTATTATTACTTTCTTTATGTTTTACTCTTATTTGGGATGATTCCTTATCTTTTTATTAAAAATAGAAGTTTGTATTGTGGTAATATAATATTGCGTATAGACATCTCATAATACCTTTTTGTAATGTATATATATGGTCGTAATTAACATTGTATATGTATTTTAACTTTTATTTCAAGAATAATTATATGAAACTTTTATTTTGATATGTTTTTTCAATATTTTATTTTTACTTTAGTCTTTATTCTTTTATAATATTTTTTTATGTAATTTTGAAAGGAATAATTTATATTTTTTTATTTCTATACCAATTTGTAATTAAAATAATTTTAAAAGTTATAAATTTTACACATTATTTATATAATGGTATCCATATGGGGATGGATGGAGTATTATTATGAATTTAATACTTACCCCATCCCAAAAATCTTTTTAGGGGTCAATTTAAATTCTTTTTTCTGTTACCTTTTTAATAATACCCCTAATTACTCAATTAGCACTTTTAGCAGAAGCGCCATTATTCTTGTGGAGCTCCGCTCCATATATTCCTCTCGTCTTCTTCTTCCACTACAAAACCACTGATCCCCCTCCGCAAAATCGGCACTCCATTTATATACTCCATTAGCTTTCTTTACGCAAACACTGACTTTGTTTTGTTCTCTCCTCCCTCACCAAGCAAAGCACTTAGCTCTGCCCCTCCCTCTCTCTCTCTCTCTCTCTCTCTCACTCTACTCCAATTTTTTATATCTGAGATCCGGCCCTAAGATGGGCCTTAATACGGAGTATTTCTCTCAAGAAAATGGAATGTTAGGTTCCGAGAGTGATGATGATGATGACAGTGAACTAAAGGCGAGATCTTTGATTGGTAGAATGATTTGGGATTTTGGGTTGGCCTGTATCATCCCGCATCGACGGCGACGGAGCTCCGGCAAGGGTAAGGTCGGCGGGTTGAGCTCGTCGGAGCACAATAAGGCTTGGTTGCTCGCTCAGTCCGGCGGGTGTGGCCGATCCGAGACGAACAATGCCGAGCCTCAGTCGGTCCACTCCTCCTTCCGGCTCAGTCTCTGCTCTCAGGTGGAGCTTGAATCTATGAATGTCATGAATAGCCGCTCCCACGCCACCGTCTTGATGGTGAATTTGGAAAACGGGTCGACTGATCCGGGCGGGTCGAGGGAGCTGAAATGGAGGAGATTTGAGTCTCTCGAGAGGAGCATTTCCCCGGTCGCCCATTCTTTACTTCGGTTTAGCTATCAAGAAATTGTGTCTGCCACTTCCAATTTCTCCAAAGGTGCCTTTGTTTCTTGAAAATTGTTTCAATTTATCCGTTATCCATATAATTTGCTAGGGTTTAATGCATTTCATAGTTCTTGGAAACACAAGTTTGAGCTTTTCGATGAATCAGTTCCTATTTGGACCAAACCAATCTGAAAAATTGAATCCAATCTGTTGGCTAGGTGTGTCATAAGCTCATAATCTCATATGCAACTCTCTGAATAGTATTTTTTGTTGGATTTTCTTGAATTTGAGCAGGTAGAGTTTTAGGAAGAGGAGCAATGAGCTATGTATTTAGAGGAAGAATCTGGTATCTGAAAGCTGCACTGGCGATTAAGCGGTTGGACATGGAAGATAAGGAGACACCAAAGGCATTTTGTAGGGAACTAATGATTGCCAGCTCTCTACACAACCCTCACATTGTTCCTCTTCTGGGCTTTTGCATTGATGCAGAAGCTGGTTTGTTTCTGGTTTACAAGTATGTCTCCGGTGGAGACTTGGACTGTTATTTGCACGGTAACAGAGATTCCCTTTTCCGCGAGCCCTAAGAATTTCGAACCTCATTTTCTTTTCGGAGTTATAAGAAGTTCTCTGATCTTCCTTGCAGAGAAGAGGGGAGCCAGTGGTAGTCCGGCTCTTCATTGGTCAGCTAGGTACAAAGTTGCTCTTGGCATTGCAGAAGCCATTGGCTATTTGCACAACGGAACCGAAAGATGCGTTGTTCATAGGGACATCAAGCCTTCAAACATTCTTCTTTCTTCCAAGAAGATACCCAAGGTGAAGATTTAGTCCTGTTACAGTACAAAAACTTTTTCACCACAAGTTTGACCTTTTGGTTGAATGGGTTTCTCGACAACCACTAAATATTTTTTTATGTTGGTTGTCAAGAATTCGACGTGACATGGAGAACAGGTCTTTGGTTGGATCTACTTGCTAACAGTTGTGTTTAGGCCAGCTAATTGTGTGAGCCATTAAATACTTTGTTTGATGACATATGCAGTTATGTGACTTTGGATTAGCTACATGGACCCCTTCACCATCTGTGCCTTTCCTTTGCAAAACTGTGAAAGGGACGTTTGGGTAATGGCCTGATTGTTTTTTTTCTTTCTTTCTTTTTTTGCCATTCCCATTCATCTAGCAATAAATATCATAAAAACAAAATGCAGGTATTTAGCTCCAGAGTATTTCCAGCATGGAAAAGTGTCAGATAGAACTGATGTCTATGCATTTGGAGTGGTCCTTTTGGAACTGATAACCGGACGGAAACCAATCGAAGGCAAACACGGAGGAGGAGGACCAGGGGAGGAGAATCTGGTCTTGTGGGTAGGTTTGAACAACTTTGTGCCTAATTATCTCAACCAAAAGATAATTAACCTTTCACATACTACATTATTCTCTTGGGTTAGCTTCTTTTGAGCTTTGATACCAAAGGCGAGTGTCATAATATGACACCAAGTCCATTTGAGGACCCTACAGTATTTCTGCTTGCTGCTGAAGTGGTTCCTACCCCTTCTAACCCCCTACAAACTCTTCTTAGCCCCCTAGCCCCACCATCTCCAGGAGCAGGCTGGGGGTTAGAAATGGTAAGAACCACTTTGAGGTCAAATGGAGCACCGTAGGGTCCTCAAATGGATCTGATGTTAAAATATGACCACAATGTTAGGTGTCAAAACATCCATAGTATATCTCAACGATGCACGAATGTGTATGTCTTCAGGCAAAGCCGCTGCTACAGCAAGGATCCATCGAAAAGCTAATCGACCGGAGGCTCAAAATCCCACAAAAGAAGGTGCGCGAGAAGGTGTCGCGAATGGCGCAAGCCGCGGCCGCTTGTGTAAACAACGACGAATCTCAGAGGCCCCACATTGATGCGATCATCGCCATACTTAGAGGCTCTAAGCCTGGTAACTTAGCCAGGAAGAAGTCTACGAACCTCACTGGTAATAATGGCTGCGTTTTCGAGTGCTGTCCCCAGCTGTTGCAGCAGAGTAAGAGCCAAATGAGGAGTCACTTTGAACTGGCTATGGTGGGAGTTCCTGAGTTTGAAGAAGAAAGTTTTTACTGTCACTGAGGAAGAAGAAGAAGAAAGTTCTTTGTTTGGGTAAAAATGTAGTGTGTGTATATAGAAAGAAAAGGGTAGCCTGTGGGGGATTATGTGTACCTGGTTCATTTCCCAGCCTCAGTTTGTATAATCAGTTAACGATATTTTTTGTATGATTAAAGTTATCTCAAGTTCAATTTACTTAAAAATTGAAGTAGAAAAAGTAAAACAAAATTTGTGGAGTATATATAATTAAATTACGGAAGAATAAGTGACTTGATTAAATTATATTATGAATGAAAACATATCATAAAAATTAGAAAAAAATGATATAGAGATTTTTATTGCTTTCGTGCTGGTATATTTTAATGAGGTTTAAACTTGTTATCTTTTGGTAAAAAAAGTCTTGATATCATATCAAGAAGGTAACTCAACCTAAAAGATTGTAATTGAGCGACTTTAAATTATTTTATGGAACATATTCTAATTAACATATTAGATTTTAGGAGTGAAAGTGTACACAAAATATTTGTGTTGTCATTGATTATGTGATAAAATATTCTTATCATCTATTGTTTTGTAGAATTTTAAATATATAACTTGTACTCGCTCTCTCTTATACTCCGTATCTTAAAGGTCAATATTTTTCAACTTTAATCATAAATTATGGAAAAATACATTAAGTCGTGATGTAAATTTTAATACTAATATATTAATTTTAAAATGCAGTCTTAAAATATCATAATACATCTTTATATACAAATGCAAATATTAATGGACAAAGTGTTTATTAGATTCCGGGAAAAGCCAAAGTAAACGAAAGATATGAGACAAAATACAAATGGTATATTCTTTTATTTTTTATATGAATAAATAAATTAAATAAATTTAAATATTTGGAATTTTGTACTTGTGATTTGAAGTGTGTAGTCAAATGTGTGAGGAAGAGACTCAAGAGAGTATATGAAATTGAATTTATTTGACGAATATGAATTGAAAGTTAGTTGGGAGTATGGACAAAAGATATGAAAAAGTGGAGCCATAACTAATAGGAAAAATTGCCCAAAATAATCCGAACTTTACCCGATCTTTCAAAAATAATCCCACCTTTCACTGTGATGCATAATAATCCCAACTTTACTGAAATTTGCCAGTTTTGGGTCGCCGNATTTTTTTTGAAATTTTCATTTAAATTTTTTAAATTACTTTCTACCTCCATCATCATTTCTTTTTCCTTTTTTAAAGATTAGTCTTAGTTTAAAAAATAAAAACAATAGATATAAAAAATGAAAAAATGAGAAATGTAACTAAAATGGTACAAAAATAATAAATTAAATAAGGTAATCAATGAAAACTAACTTGAAATTGGAAAAAGTAAAATAAAAATATACGGGTGGGTTTTAATATTTTAGGCATTATACAAAGCATTAACATATCACTTCTGTTTTTTAGAAAAAATTATCTACAATAATTCCAACTTTACCGGATGGCTTGTTCTTTTAAAAAATAAGTAGTACGTTAAGACTCCGTATAGTGTGTAAAATGTTAAACCCACCACTCCATATATATTTATTTTATTTCTTACCAGTTTATGTTTAATTTCTATTGATTACATTATTTATTTGATTAATTTTGAATGGTTTTAGTTATTTTTCTCATTTTCATTATTTTTTATATCTATTTTTTTTCTAAGGTAAGAATAATCTTTAAAAAAGAAAAAGAAATGGAGGTTAAAAGTAATTCAAAAAATTTAAATAAAAATTTCAAAAAAAATTAAAAAACAAAAATTCATCAAAAATAATCCCAACTTTCATTTTGTTGCCTAAAACGGGCATTTCCGTTATCTCTCCGTTAGAAACTTAACGGCGACCCAAAACTGGCAAATTTCAGTAAAGTTGGGATTATTATGCATCACAGTGAAAGGTGGGATTATTTTGGGTAATTTTTCCTAACTAATAATCGAACTTAGGCGCGCATTAATTACACATTGTTTCGTTTTTTGTCTATTTTCCCATGGATGCGAAGATCAAATTACAATAAATATCAATGTCATACTATAACACTCGCTCTATTTGATCAACATACGATGTCTCATTTAATTTTCAATACGGATTAGTATATTTGGTTCAAAAAATTTAAAAGAAAAATAAAAAGGAAAATATTTTTTGATGTTTGGTTAGATAACTTTTTCGGCTAATCGATAGATTTTGTTTATTTATGCATTTTCATTGATTAATTGATAAAATAAAATATTTTTTATCACATATGTTTTGTAAAAAAATTATGTATATATATTTATATATGATGTCATTTATACAGAATACTTTTTTATTTTTATACCAATTTATAACTAAAATGATTTTCAAAATGATGAGATTTTGCACATTGTTTAAAGTGTGTGTGGTATCCATTGTTGGACAGAAGAAATAAAATACTGCCTCCGTCATAAAACATTCTTCCCATTTCTGTTTCAAGTTTTTACTAATTATTTTTCAATTCAATTTATTTGATAATAGGTGTAAATTTAAAAAAATATATATATTTAAAAACTACATAAAAATTATTAAAAATAAGAAGTGACAAAATTATATTATTTTATCAAATAACTAAAAAATAGGTAAAGAAAATAACTAAAATTTAACTCTGTGAATACTAACAACGAAGGATGTTTTGGGACAGAAAGAGTATCTAAAAAGAGGAGGTGGCATAGCATGACACCTAAGAAGGTAAGGAATATTTTGATTTGGATAGTGGCAAAATCTCCGGGAGACAAGAAATTAACCACATTTCAAACGATTTACCACATGGAATGAAATACGGAGTAATTTACTTTGAATTTATTTTTTTATTTATAAATGCTCCGTATACAAGGGAGATGCCGACAAGGCTGCGACTCAATTGATTTTCACATGATCTCACGTTGATCGCTATCGAGAGTGGACTCACATTGACAATTAACATTTTCCACCGCTCACCTAAGGTAAATTTGACCAAGATCGGATGAATCTCTCTACCTTGACAATTTTGCATTTGATTAACATGGTAAAAAAAAAAAAAGCCTTCCTAAAATTGTGGTTGATTTGTTCTCTTCCAGTAGAAATTGTGGTTTAAAAAGTGGAAAAGAATTACTCCCTCCGTCCCCTAGTTTTTATCCACTTTTGATTTTTGGAATTGTCCATCTAATCTAAGCACTTTGACTCATCAAATTCTCTCAATGTGTAAGCCTTTTAGTCATGATCTTGTTTGATTTGTCTTAACATATACGGAGTAGATATTAATATATAATTTCTATAATTTTTTAACATATAAATTACAAGATAAAATGGATTAAAGAAATGCATTGAATGGTGTGTAAAAATAAAAGTGGACAAATACTCTAGAACGCAGGAAGTACATGAGTAGCCATTAATGAAAATTGTGGTTGAAAGTTGAAACCCGTTCATGTACTTGTATATAGTGTTTTTGATTAATGAAACGAAGAACGTCAAATTTCTATCATGGTGCAGGCCCTTCATCAGGAAGAGAACTCGTTCTCTTTTTTTATTATTTTGGTTCTCTTATTATTGAATGTAGAGTGCTTATATCGTACTTTGACTTTATTTGTCTCTTTTGATAGTTGTATGTTCAACATTATTGCAAACTCTCTTGCTAACAGTTGCGAGTCAGATAACGTTGGATAACGTTGTGGGAGGTTGTTCTACTAACGATTATTGTTTTACTTCCTGTATATCTTACTTGAATCTTTACGTACATTATTCACATGGTCGAACTTTATATATTTTAAATCTTTATTTTCGTTACTTATTTCATAACATAATATAAACATGTTACTTCTAATTTTGTAGATTTTTTAATGTAATTTTTTAATATATAATTTTTATTTTTAAATTTTACACTTACAATCAAATAAATTGAATTGAAAATAAAATTAGTCAAATATTGTAATCCAAATCAGAAATATTTAAATGTGAGAAAGGGAGAATATTAAAGTTGATTTGTTTACCCTAAAAACGGAATGAATCGCATTCAAGTACGGAGTATTCAACAAAGAGATAGTAAAAGTGGAGTTGAAAAAATAGTCAACTAAGTCAAGGAGTTGTGCTAGAGACGGTACACACGTAACCCCAAGAGGAGTTGTGCTAGCATGTTACTTATAGATCTTTTCACTGTCTTTTGTATGAGTTCATAGTTGTATCTTATTTATAAATATCTATAAAATGAGCATTGTTGTGATATTTTATTTACTCATAAATACAAGAATCGTACAAAAAAATCTGGGTAGATACGAAGTTTCTTCAATTCTCCCACAAAGACTTGAATATGTGAAGACTTTAAATTTATTCTAGACTAAGACTCTATTTTTTCGATTGAAAAAATAAAGTTGGATGTTGGAAAAAATTGGAAAGAGTTGAAAGAAACTAGAAAAAGTTGGAAAAAATTAAGAGTTGGAAAAACATAAACGAGTTGGAAAAACTGGAAGTAGTTAGAAGAAGAGGGAAGAAGCTGCAAAAAATAGAAAGAGTTGTAAAAATTATGAAAAAGTTTAAAAAAATGTTTAAATAATTGTTTTTTTAATTCCATATTTTTTTTAAAAATGTATGCTCTGCTTTTTAAAATTTAATCTCTTTTCATTTTCTTTAATATCATTATATTTTATCCAAATTGTATTTGTAGTTCTTTTGTGACTCACACTCTTTCTTTACTTTTTAAAATCAGTATCAAACATATAATTTTTTTTTGTTTTCTCGTTGTATGTCACTAATCCATAAAACAAAAATAAAAACACATATAAAGCAATACTTTTTACTATTTTTATTTGAAAGAAAAATTGGACTTAAATAATGTATAACAATGTCTCAACCAAAATATATATATGAGTTGTATTTATTTTCAGAAGTTTCTTATTCTTTTTTTTAGTTACAAAAATTCCATTATATTATTCTAAAATAAAAAGGGAAAAAGAAAAAAGCATAAAAATGACACCAATTTGTTTGAACTTGGGTTAGAGGTTTATTTCTTATATTTTCTTACTCTTTTTTTATAAGAAAAGTATTCTATTCTAAAATAATGAAGGGAAAAAAGGGATATAATAAAATACGCCAATTCATACCTAAAAAATCTTTTAGATATTCGTTTTTTGTATATCTCGAGAATTTTAAAACGATTTCTTTTTGCCAATTCATTCCTAAAAAATCTTTTATCTCTTATACATTAGTTTCAGATTCAAAGATAAGAAAACCAATTGAGATGTGGGCCTTGCCCTTTCGCTTGATGGGCGTATCCAAAAATATTACGGAGTAATATGCATGCGCGAAAATATTTTTTGTAAATTTTGAAGGCTTATTTTTAAATTTTACAGAGGGCCTCCGAAGACATTTGGGCCGGCCCTAATTCGAACTCAAAATTTCATAGTTTCGTATGATTTGAATAGCAATTATTTTAGAACATTTAAATAGGAAAACCATCCTAAAAAGCGACTGAAATGTAATTTTTAAAATTTTGTAACAAATATTATATTAATTAAAGAAACAGTCCTAATTTATGTGAAATTTGCACTGAATAGGACTAAAACATAAGTCATTTTCCAATATAGGACTTAATTTTTTTAATTCCCTAAATAGAACTTAATAATGGTTAATAAGAAGAATAATGTTCAATTATGCTCGACATGTAGTTGAATAATGACTAATAGACAATAACCAATGATCCTTCGTTAGGAAATAAAAATATATGGTCATACTATACTCCGAATGAAACAACCCCTAGTTAATAATCCGGGATAATTAATACTCAGAGTACCATACTCTCCCTCCCCAAAATTAGCCTCCTAGTTTGTTTTTTTTTGTGGTTGCTTTAATCATATATTGTGCAAAATTTATATCTAGTTATAATGTAAATTTAATATAATTGAATTAATTTTATGATGTAGTTTTCTTATATCAAATCTTTATATCATTTACTAATCTAAAACTATATTTAATTTCTTGTCAAAATAACCACAAAATCAAACTAGTACAATAATTCTAGAATAGATGATGATGAAATATAATTGACTCTATCATACTCCCTTCGTCCATAATTTATTTTCTCACTTTTTCTTATGTACCTGTTCAAAAATTATCTTCCAGTTTCCTTTTTTGGAAAATAGTACTTTTTCTTTAAACCACATCACTGCCCTCACCTTTACTCATTAATTACAATGTTTATCTACACTTTATTTCACTTTTGGCAATAACCCAAGGACAAATATAGAAAGTTAAAATATTTTTTTATTTTTTCTTAATTTGCGTGTAAGATCAAAACGGATTATTTTTAGACGTGGAGAGTAATAAATACTTTGTATAATAGAAGTAAATAATAAGAACGTGGAAACTAAATCGTCGAAAGCTATGAGTCTTTTTCTTTTCTAACACGATTATGCAATTGGGTGTATTTCAAGGCAAATTCTTTTGTGGTTCTTACTTCTTAGGTCATGCTTATTTCATGGACCTTCACACATAAAATTATTTTATATGATGACATTATGAAATTAAAGAGATCTAATTATTACGAATACATTTAAAAAATATATTCTCCGTCCCGTGAAACATGCTGGAAGTTTTGCTTTTTAAGAGGGATTTAAGGGGTGTGTATTTTGGTATTGAATTTTCAAAAATGTCCTTTGATGTGATGGGTAAAAGTATGATTTGATGGATAGATTATTAGTGAAAAGGTATGATGTGATAGTTAGTGTATGAAAAAGTAAGGGGCAAAAGTGACTTTTTAATAGAAATGAGAAGTGTTTTGTAGGACGGAAAAAAAAGGAGAAAGGTTTTATGGGACGGAGGGAGTAAAAAACTACATTTTGCGTGTACACCTAAGGACCACAATATAGCATAACTCTGTATTTCAATTCATATATTTTGGAGTGTATGTAAACAATATGGGTTCATAGGTTATATTCTTGATAGCTAGAGTTTGAAACTCTATATATGGACATGAAAGATGTATAATAAAGTCGCGTGTAGAAAATTGATAGAGAGAAAATATAGGAAATGATATATTTGCCCTTCTTCTTTCTCAAAACACAGGTTTGCCATTACTCTTCTTTATTTGCCATTACTCTTCTTTATTTGTTGAAAAAACACACGGTTGTAAATATTTACGTTATATCCTTCTTTAAAGCTTTCCTTTTTTTAAAGTGCTAATTTTCATAGGAAAACATTACCTTTTTATACCCGGTTGTAAAAAAATACTCGTAAAAAATATCAATAACACCCTTTATGCTTCTAGAAAAAAACACACGGTTGTAAAAACATTCAATTCCTTCCTTTTTGGTCAGATTACAATGCATTCAATTCGTATAATTGAATTAGCCAGAAGTTTCTTTTAATATATCCTTCTAAATTGGTAATAATACACAACCAATCATAACCGCAGATCTTCTTCGTATATTGATATCAACGGTGCAGGACTATAGTGCATTGAGCGGGAAAATAGTTCCCTGCTTTTAAGAATAGAGTGATATCTCTCTAGATTTAGTCTTCCACTTTCTGAAGAATCTCGTTTCTAAGAAATAAGTTTAAATATCAAATAAATTTTATTACTCCATATAATTTTATTATTAAAAAAACATAGCATAAAAAATGAAGAGCTAAGCAAAAAAATGGGTTATGCTAGGTGTGTACTTTACTGTACACCACCTGTACTAGTATGTTACAGATATATACAGATAATTACTCTCTCCATCTAAAAAAATCTGTTTTATTTTTTACGCATCCTATAAAACACTTCTACCTCAACTCAAATGTCTAAAACACTTTCAAAATAACTTCTACTTGCAATAAAACAGTAGTGTAGTGAATTTTAAACATTATAGATGTGAATAGAAGTGTTTTATGAGATGCACAAAATATGAAACAAGAAAATCTTTTTGAGACGAAAAAAGTATGATTTATGTTCATATGTTGTGTATGACACACTGGTATCTAAACAGTGTACACCAAAGTGGTGTACATATAGTATTTTCAAAAAAAAGATAATGCTATTTCATCCTATTTTGTACATCATAGGGATGCACAATGTTTTGTATGTGTAATGCTAATTTTTATTAATGCACCAATACTTTGTGTCAGTGTGAATCATCAAAATATAGGTGTATATTTTTGGCGTACAAAAATGGAGTACAAATTTTGAAGTACATGTAGAATGTTCCCAAAATAACTTGTAGGTTGAAACATAAGTGGCTCATATTACTTCTCGTGTACACCACGGCAGCCATTCGAATCAGGCACGAGTCAACCCCTTGTAAATTACTCCGTATAAAGGCAAACACCGCACCTTTTTCTTGTGCCACACTCTATGGGTTTACACTTTACACCAATCTCAATAAACGAGAAAAAAAGGGACAAAAAAAGGAAAACGTCTTACCGGTTCGAATGGCCGAAGGATTTGTGGGTATGGTTTCCCCTTTATCCTTTTCTTTTCCAATTTTCAATACGGAGTACTTCTTTCTCTTTCTTCTTTTAAAAAATTTTCAACTTTCACATATTCCATAAAATATTTTAATTTATATTAAATGAACATAATTGTCTTTACTTTTCTTAAATCTAATCGAACTTATCTCAACTATCTTCTACCGCCTATCTGTTTTAACATTTTCCGTGCAATACTCGTTTCAATTGTTCAAACTTCAATATTTTCCTATTCCAAAAGTAAACATGAAATGTTTTACAGAACGTAAATAGTATATTATCTTGTAATACTTAAATTAATTAAACTAAAAATATAAAATACATGTAAATAATACAAACTTAAAAAACTGCAAAAATGAACAAAATCAAATTATAAAAAAATTAAAAGAACAAAAAAATAAGAAGTAATTAGTAGAAAAAAGGAAAATATAAGAAAGAAAGAAGAAAGAAATAAAAACAGTAAAATGTTCGGAAGAAAAACTTCACAGTGCGCATTAGTACTCAGATTGAATCGAAATGAACAATTGAAGATTTGAACGATTTTGCAACAATAATAATGCAATTCAATATCTACCAACGATCGAAATTAATCAAGCATAAGATTATAATGAGTGGATTAACCCGATCGACTCCAAACCCTAGACGGGGCGGCGGCGGCGGAGGAGTCGGTTTAAATCTTCTCCCGCATCATGTTTTTGAATTCCTCGAAGTTCACGCAGCCGTCGCCGTCAACGTCGACCTGGCTGATCATACGGCGGCAATCTTTGATGCTGCACTTTTCTCCGAGTCTCTTCAGCGTCTTGTGCAACTCCGAGGCGGTGATCTTCCCGTTCTTATCAATGTCGTACAGATCGAAGGCCTCGCGGAGGTCTTTCTCGTGGGAGTTGGATCCGCCGCCGTCGCTGGGGAAATACACGGCGGCGAACTCCTTGATGTCGATGAATCCGTCGCCGTCGAGGTCAACCTCCTTCATTATGCGGTCAACCTCCTCCTCCGACACCGTCATAGTGCCGAGAGCATTCAGGATCGCGGCGAGCTCGGAGGGCGAGATTTTGCCGTCGCCGTTCTTGTCGAATTTCCGGAACACGACCTCCGCCTCGTCCATAGCGCCGCCGCCGCCGTGGAGCATCGATTGCTTCTTCGGATCGCAACCGCTTTTGGACTGCGATAAAGAGTGATTTTCCGTTTCGGCGGAAGAGATTTGATCTGTTTTCATATTTGGAGTTATTGTTTGCCGAATCGGAAGGGGACGATTGATTTATAGTTGCATTCACGCGGTTTCAAATAATAAAGGAAATACGCGTGAGATTTAATTTTAAATCCTATGGTTACGCGCAAACTGTTAACGTGAATATTACTCTAGCAATAAATTATGAATCCAAAGTAGTCTCATCACTCTTCCCGTCTTCCTCATAAATGAGATTACAATATCTCATTTACGAAATAAAATTTGTATTTTTTAAAATTAGCTTATTTAAGTATTGATATAAAAATAAATAATAAAATTTATATGTTAAAATATTATGTCAAGAGTTTTATAAAACAAGAGGTTACAAAAAGTTTTTAAAATTATTTTATCAAACAATGAATAGGGATAAGTACAGTCATAGCACTAATATATGCTTAAAATACCCAATATAGCATTGCTATGGGATATTGGAATTCATGTGGGAGCAATTCCAAATTTGTCCTTGCATTTCACACTGCCAAAAAAATGTGTTTAAGTGGGTATACACTTCCAGAACATAAACATAACACACTGTCGTCATAGTCAATTTAACATGTATCCACACTACCAAAGCATGATCATTCCACACTGCCAAAAAAATATGGTTAAATTTTTATACAATTCTAGAACATTGACATAACACACTATCAAAAAATGTAGTTAAATATTGTGAACCATAACACAATGATCAAAATATGGGCATAACACATTGCCAGAAAGTGTAAGCATAACATGACCATTCCTGACTACTCAAAAAGTTGGTATACACTTCCAATTTTGTTTATTAAATGTGTTTAAGCACTGAGGAGTGGCACGACGGTTCTAAGTGCTACGTTCAAGGAATGAGAATAACCTCCTAAAATTATGGATCTTAATAAATATAGTAAATGAAATAATAAAAATACTTCATTATAATAAAAGGGTATGATAAGAAAAGATCCACGTCATAAATAACCAAATGTGTGAAAAACAATAAGGGGTACTATATGTGTAATATTGGGTATAGTGCTACATAAGGTGATTTCTAAACAATGAATGAAAGTACACAAAGGAATAAACAAATAATTTTATCAATATAGGGATGGATGGAGTAATATAGTACTTGTTCATATCTTCTAAATCTAATGACACACAATAAATTTTTACCTCTGTCCCGATAAAAATCAAATTGGGGAACCTGGGTCAGTTTTATTATTATGAATCTAAATATTGTAGAGATCTTTTATAAAACCTAATTTTGTTAATTGGACTCAAAATCTGTAACTCTCCCTCAAGTTTGAGCAGGATGATTGCAGATCACATACAATCTCAAACTTATTACACAAAAGAGAATCATGTGATGGCTCTCCAAGTCTCGATCAATAGGACACTTCAAAAATTCAATTTTTTTTCACCAGAGAAGCAATTAACCATTATTTGTCATAACAGTAGTATATACTCCGGCGTATATATATACGGAGTATGCTTTTGGCATGGGGAGATAGTTAGCATATGAGTACGTAACGTAGTAGTCTTATTTGTTTATTGTTTTTCCTTTTTTTTAGGGTTAGAATTCTGGTAACAGCAACTACATTATCTGTCTATTCTTTCTTTGTTAGAGTATCCACATAGTAAAAAAACGAAAATAATAGGTTCATAAGCTATGTTGAATTAGTTATCGATTGGATTCAATCTTTTAATGTGGTTCAACGCATGCATTTCATGGTTTCAATTGATGAGGGATTCCTACCTCATACTCCATCCGTTCACTAATTTCTTTCTCACTTTCCTTTTTGGAATGTTCAAAAATTTTCTTTCTCATTTCCGATTTTAGCAAAAAACTTTTAATGAATGTGCTATTATATTCTTGCATTTTCTCTATATTATTCACTTTATCCCATCATATCAAGGGCAGCACATAGACAGTCTTTACACTTTTTAACTTTTCTTAATCTACGCGCAAAACGGGAGAGAAATTTTTGGACGGAGGGTTAAGTTCTATTACGGTATCGAAGAAGGTTTTGCCCCACCTTGTTTCTCAATTCAATGTGTCTATTTGAACTTTCATTTTTAGTGGCACGTGAGTCTTTAGCCCAATTGTCGATATGAAAAATGGTTTGTGACCACTCTAACCTGATTGTTCATTTAGAAGTCCATATATAGTAACTCGTGTTCATATATAAGCGCTTTCGCAAGGGAAAGAGAGTTGATTCGCAAATGGTCAAACGATTGGATTAAAAATGATCTGATTGCTCAGTTGTGGGAAAGTATTAGAGCATTTCGCATCAAAAAAATTAGTAATCAATTGAATTCAATCATATCTTTTTTTTTATACGGAGTATGATTCAATTCAGATGTGGTGTTTTTTAATCATCTTTTTTTTGTGTGTGTGAATGGAGAGAGGGGGGAATATAATCCTGTGGCCATCCGCAACTGATATCTCATGTGTGGTTCGTAACGATCGAGGGAATTAATAAGGGTGGGATATATATGTTAATACGAGCGCAGACATTTTGCTGATTGAGCTGAAAGGAGAGACATGTTCTTGTCTGCGCCCGCAAATATCATACTAATTAAACGCCTATACGGAGTATTTATATGTCGATCACGTAGGATAGATGGGTTAAATGTCTTATCTCAGGAAGCATGCTACATTCATTTCAATTACTGTTAGTTAAAACCTTTCTTCTTGCCAGCGTTTTTTGACAAAGAAATGAATATTAAAATAGTTATTATTAAAATATTAAGACTCCAGTTCAATGGATGGTAATCGTACTGAAAAGCAATTATCTTAATTTAAGAGCATCTATAAGTGTCATTGTAGCCTCCATCCTTTAACATTATGATCAAACTAAACTTCAATGCAAGTATTTCATTATTTTTGGGGAGAAATTCAATGCAACGTAATTAGGGTCGTTAAAAAATAATTATGGAATATTACAAAATTATAAAGAGAACATATACATTATGTGTGTGTGACTGTGTGTGTAAGTTTACTGATATCATATCCTTGACCCTCTTTCTATATGAAGAGGGTTGAATCTGGTTAATCTTCAAGAGAATTCAATACAGAATTATTATCCCTTATTATTTTCTAGATGGTATCAGAACGACTTTTCAATTTTTAGGATCTCAACCACACTTCCACTCTGCTGCCGGTGGACATACATACTCCAATGCGTACTAGCGGGATATCCTAATCTTTTGTTTGCTCTCCGTGAAAATTGCTAGGCATGCTTTTTTGCAGCGTTCGACCAACATAGCATCATCTGCGTCAGCCTCGATCGCCATGACAACTCCGAAAGTTTGCTAGTGACAACCACCAATGCACGTTGTCCATGGAGTTGGTATGGCAAATGATTGTTCCTCGACAAAGATCATGACTGTTGAGGAATCACGGTCACTAATAACGAAGAAATCGTCCGACAAAGGCTGTCCTATAAGAAGTGGACAATTTCGTAATGTGTGCGCAATTTTTTTAAATGGTGTTTAGGATGTTCGAAAAAATGACGTTCGTTCTGTTCATTTGAATTCAGTAAAGGTTTGAAAAGAATGACGTTCCTTTACTCGACATTGGATTCGAAAAAAGTGTTGTCTCCGTCGAAGAAAAAGAAAATTTATATTTTGAAGAGATGACACTTGAACAAAAATCGTTTGATTATGTGTTGTCCAAGCTGGGCACTCGTAATTCCCGCATGCTCCTGCTTCAGGAGAGATGTTGTGAGATAGACAGAGGCATAGAAAAGGAAACCGAATCCCAACAGGATTTGATTTAGGAGAAATTTATCTAAATAGGACTAAAACATAATGACTTTCTCAATATAGGACCACATGTTTTTATTTTCCAATGTAGGATCTTTGGTCATTATCAAGTAGTCATTATTCAACTAAATGTCCATCATTACTGGACATTATTCCTTCCACTAGGTCATTATTAAATCCTATTTAGGTAATAAAAAAGTTTAAGTCCTGTATTAAGAAAGTCATTATGTTTTAGTCCTATTTAGTGAAAATTTCACTTGATTTAGTGGCTTTTCTAGTTTTTTTCCATTCTCGTTATAATAGGAATAGAACTATGGTAAGAAATAGAAGTTTACCTTATTTGCTTGACCTTCTTTCTATATAAAGACGGTTGGATCTTTTTAATCTCCAAAAAATACAATACAGAATTATTCTCCCTTATTATTTTCTACAATAGGAAATACAATATTATTATTATATACTTTCCATTCTATTGTTATCATAAACAGTTATTCTATTTTTGTTAGGATTCTCCATGTAATATATATAGATACATACACACACACACATATATATATATATATTGATGTAACTCTCATTATTGACAATAAAACCAATTATAATTAAATTCTATCAATAATAATAATGATAATAATATTACTACTAATAATAATACTAATATTAACAATAAAAAAACACCAACAACAACAATAACTCTATGAAAAAAAATTCTCCTTCATTCCCATAATTGATTACAAAGTTTACTATTTTAAAATTACGATATCTTTTGTTTATCGATGAATTTTAATTGATTATTATAAAATATTTTTGTTACCTCTTGTTTATCGGAAACATTTAATGTAGTTGCAAATATGTAAGTTTTATATTTTATTTCTATATTACGGAGTAATATTTAAATAAAATGATTTAAATAAAAATTGTCATTTTGTATAATTTCTACTCCCTCTGTCCCGGAATATTCGTCCAGTTTTGACTTTTGGAATTGTTCATCTAAGCACTTTGACTCATTAAATTCTCTCAATGTGTAAGCCTAAATATAGTCATGTGTGATTTTGTTTGATTTGTCTTAATATATAGATTATTAATATATAATTTCTATTTAATATACAAATTACAAGATAAAATAAATTAAAAAAATGTATTGGATGGTGTGTAAAAATGAAAGTGGACAAATACTATGAGACGGAGGTCATTATGAGAGGGAGGGAGTAATTTGTAATAATTGAGTGACAACTGCACTCACTCGTAGTCTTGTACCCGGAGTAAGAAAAAAAAGCAAGTGATTGTGGTGCCTCCAAGTGCCACGGGGTGATTCTATTTTATGGTGGGATCATGGAGGCAGAAAACAGTGCAAAATTGGTCTTTTCATGTTCAATACATGTATTTTTCTTGAGGGATGCTAGGGTACACCATTTGGTGTACTCCAGTGGTACACCACTCATCATAATCCATCATTTTTTTTTTCATTTTTAATTTTTTTTTCTCTCTTGCTTTTGTGTGGTAGAGATGAGGGGTACAAATGGGGTACCTCATTTGGTGTACCCTAGTATTTTTGTTTTTTCCTCATTTTACTACATCCGATTCAATTTTTTTTATTTTTTTTCTCTATTTTGTTTTCGAGAGAGATATGTGATTTCAAATATTTTTTAAAACAATCTTTATTCTCTTAAATTTTATTTCTCAAAATATTTTATAAAAATACTTTTTTTGATCTCAATGAATCAAATCAAAAATAGAGATACTCGAGATAGGGGAAAACATTTACGGAGTATTTTATGAAAAATCGGGGAGCAAGTGGCACAATTTTTTTTTCTTCAAATTTGCTTGGGGTTTTTATGATCGACAAACAATTTGGAGGGGTAACTTTTTTTTACTTTTGTAACTATTCATGATTCAAGAGAGTGTATATGGTACATCCAGAGGTACATATAGATAGGCACATCCGTGTAGTCCTCATTTCGAAGTAAAGTAGTATTCATTCTTGCATAAGCATAATGGTTCATTTGAAAAAATGTGGTACTTATTCTGAAATAACGCAGTACTCATTCTAAGAATAACATAATATTTATTCTAAAATTCTACAGTACTCATTCTCGTATAACCTAGTACTCATTCTTAAACAACATACCATTCATATGTCCATTCTCTAGCTAGAAGCAAAGATGATCGCCGGAGCAACTGGAAGCGAAATCTCTATTAGCTGCGTCCACTGGAGTCGATGTGACCAGATCTTCGCATATCCAAGCAGTCTTCAGATCGCGGATCAGACCTTCATCGTCCAATCGTCGATCGGACTTCCAAACAATCTCCATCGGACCTTCATCGTCAAATTGCCGATCAAAAATCCAACCAGCCTCTGTCGCGCAACCTCCTTCATCGCTGATCGATACACCCGTTCCTGCCGCAATTCTTCATTTTGCCCCAAGTAAACGCTGGTTGTACGGTTCTTCTCGTACATCCGGTTGTATAATATAAATTACGGTGATTCAAGGGTTGAGAAAGTTTGTATGTACATATATTAAATTCTAATAAAGTTATGAATTTACCTAAATAGGACAAAAATATAATGACTTTCTCAATATAGGACCATATGTTTTTATTTCCCAATGTAGAACCATTGGTCATTATCTATTAGTCATTATTCAACTAAATGTCCAACATCACTTGGACATTATTCTTCTCATTAGTCATTATTAAGTCTTATTTAGGGAATAAAAAAGTTTATGTCCTACATTGGGAAATGATTTATGTTTTAGTCCTATTCAGTGCAAATTTCACTAAAGTTATTGATAATTAATAAATAAATACTTTTCCCTCTCTCTTTGTGTAAAGTGAATAAAAATCTCATTTTTTTAATTTATTCTGTTTAAAAATTCAAATTGGAATAAAAGATAGATATATGAATGAAGTAACTTACATTCTCCCTCCTTCCAAAAAAACAATTTGATTCTTCACTATTCAAAAATCACATGAATTTTTGTTTATTGTGCATTTTGATTGATTATTTGATAAAATAAAATATTCTTATCACATCTTTTTTTTATAAAACTTTTGATGTAGTTTTAAAATATGTAAGCTTTATTTTTTTTAATTTCTATATCAATCCTTAAATAAAATGAATTTAAAAAACTTGAAAATTCATTTCGTTTGCATAAGTGTAAAACATTTTGGGATGAAATGAGTATTTAAAATATATGTCAAAAGCTCTATAAAACAAGAGATTACTCCGTATATATTTATTTAAATAAGTAATAAAACATAAAAATAAACAAAAATTATTGTGAAAGCTAATATGATATTCACTTGTATAATGGCTAAGGTTAATATATCTGTGTAAAGAGCCACCTTCTTTTCTCAAAGAGTGTTGTCATAATATGACAACACCTCCAATGCGAGTACTTATAGTGCTCTGATAATAAAATTGATGGTTCTACTTTTCATAATCCTTTGGCAAACCCCCCACCGGCCTCGCCCTTAACTATCACCCCAACCCCTTCAATTTTAATTTCTAAAATTATTTGACTTTTGGGTCAAAGATTTTTGACCCAAAAATCAAATAAATTTAGAAAATAAAATTGAAGAGGTTTGTGTGAAGGGGTCGAGGTGGGAGGATTTTCTGGGGGGGGATTAGGGTTTAGGAGGGTAGGACCGTAGGAACCATTAATTTTATGATCAGAGTCCCGTAGATACCTCGATTGAAGTTGTTGTCATATTATGACATTATTTTTGTTGTTGTCAAAAGAAGGGAGGTGTTTTGTAAAAGAGACATATTTATTCTTTAAAATTCACTAACATCTTATATTTATTTTTGTGTTTTTTAAAAACAAAGTTATCCATTTAACTATTAATAAAATAGATATTATTAGAATGTGTAACACCTCGTGTTAAGACGGAAATGAAAAGAGTTAAAAAAAGAAGATAGTACTAATCATACAAACGAGATAAGTCTTCTTTTTGGGTGCTTATTACTTAGAAATTAAAAGCTAAGTATGCTGGACTTAGAACAATTATAGAATGGATGACCCTCTAGAAAGGTCTCTGGCGTGCACAAGTGAGGAAAAAGTCTGCAGAAAAGACGTGTGTTGGTTTTTTGGGTCAGTCTACATTCTTATAAGCAGACACTTCCAGCCAAGGTGGGGGCTTGGGTGTTACAAATGGTATTAGAGCAACCCTTTGATCGTGACCGGCCAACGAGCTTAGTTCACCTAGCGGGAAATATTTGGGAGTTTGAGAAAAAAGGATGTAATGAGGATCTTGTATTCCTAAGTGGAGTGAATGTAATACTCTCTCTAATGATGGGAATAAAAATAGCTCAAAAAATTGAAAGCACATTGTTATTATTCATACTAATAAGATGCATCTTATTTGAGAGCTCATCACTTAGAATCTTCAAAGTTAAACGCGTTAGACTTGAGAGTAATTCTATATAAATTACCCTCAATAAGACTAAAACATAGAGAAAAATACCAAAATAAGACTTTCATGTTTTTTTCTCGAAATAGGACTTTGCACCGTGGTAATGTGGCACTGTACATGTGCACATTACTACGGAGTATATTTTTTTGGTTAAATGTAGATGACCATATTTGATAATGTAAGTCCTGTTTCGAGAATAAAAGTATGAAATTTCTATTTTGGTATATATTCAATGCTTTAGTCCTACTTTAGTCTTTCTTCCATAATTCTATGATGAGCGAACTTCTAAGTTTCTAGAGCGTATCCAAGTGAGGGGCAATCTACAATTCTATGAATAGACACCTTGGCGAGGACATGGTGTTACATAATGTGTGTGAAAATAGCACAATCTTGTAATGAATTTTCAAATAATCCACAACAACATTTACCTCGTGTTTGGCAAGGAGTACTTCTCGAGTAAGCATTTTAGTCACTGCTCTCCCTAGATCTCAGCACACGTCATCAACCCCCTGTGCTTTTCTTTCTTTCTTTCTTTTTATTTTTATGAAAGCAACTCTGAGTGAGCATTTCTACCATTTCTTCCCCGTCTCAATAGCCTCGCCATTCTCTCCGACCACAATTCATCACTGGCTTCTTAGTACATGGCCGCCGCATTTCAATCCTCTGCTCTGTGCTTCACCGGAGTCTCAGCATCTTCCGGCCGAAGAAACTTTGGGGGGAGTCAATTCTCGGGATCGTCGCCTGCTTCTCAGAGATTCCGTTCCCGATCTTCAGCTGCCCTTCCCAGCTCCAGAATTCATGGTATTTCATTTTATTTTTCCTGATTTTTTTAGGTCTATTCATTTTCCACAGGTAGATTGAAAATGGGACTCAACTTAAGAGGTACTGAAATGAACTCAAAATCGATTTTTTAGGGATCTTCTTTTACTCGAATTTGGAGCTTTTTATGAAGATATCTAGCCAACACCAATAGTATTTGGTAGCCTAATGTTATTTTTTGGTTTCATAGCCTTAGTCTACAAGAATAGATCTCAAAAGTTATCACTAGAATTCTGTGTGATGAACTAAAATGTGCTTTTATCATTGTACAATTATTCAAGGAAGAGCATTGCCAAGCGACAATGTGCCACTTGAAGAGGATGGATCTCGACTCGTTGTTTGTTTTGGGGAGATGCTAATCGATTTTGTCCCAACCACAAGTGGACTTTCTTTAGCCGAAGCGCCTGCTTTTAAAAAGGCTCCAGGTGGTGCACCAGCGAATGTTGCTGTTGGCATATCTCGCCTAGGTGGTTCATCGGCTTTCATAGGCAAGGTATCATATGATATTATGTGAAGTATTGCATCTTGAGACTGAAACCCCACATCTTCAAAGTATAAAACTAGAAAACCAGCAGTTCATATCTGGATTAAACTTCGTATTATGTTGACTTTTAGGATGAAGCATCAAGTCTAATATGGTAATAGATCACATTAACCGATGATTTTGAACATGTGCAGGTCGGTGAAGATGAATTCGGCTTCATGCTTGCCGATATTTTGATGGAGAATAATGTGAACAAGGAAGGGATGCGGTTCGATCCCGGGGCTCGCACTGCTTTGGCATTTGTAACACTTAGAAAGGATGGGGAGCGTGAATTCATGTTTTACCGTAATCCTAGTGCTGATATGTTGCTGCAACCGAATGAACTTGATTTTGAATTAATTAAGAGGGTATGTCGAGTTAGATGGTTACTTTGGAACAAGCTCTACACTATTAAGTAGGGTTAAGTTTTGCGTATACACACCCTCAGAGTCTCAGTCCCTATTTTTTGTGCAGTTCTCCGGGCATGTTGTTGTACATTGATTTAGATTATTTAACATTAGTAAACCGATGCATTGATTCATTTATATAAAAGTTTATAATAGGAGTTTCACACATGCAAAAAAAAAAAGATTTGCTTATTTTTCGGTGTGTTGGGGCCTGGGTTGGCCTTCTCCATTGCATTTGAGATTTGTATCTATGTAGATTGATTGTTGTTGTCTCTGTTGATAGGCAAAAATTTTCCATTATGGTTCCATAAGCTTAATTACTGAGCCATGCAAATCAGCACATGTTGCTGCAGCTAAAGCTGCAAAGGATGCTGGTGTAATTCTGTCATATGATCCGAACCTGAGGCTTCCGCTATGGCCATCAGCAGATAGTGCCAGGGAAGGAATCTTAAGCATATGGGATACTGCTGATATCATTAAGGTACTTTTTGTAGGATTGCAAATGACGTCATATCTTTTGCGCTAAAAAACATACAACAAAACAAACCAGCATATTAAGTATTGAGCTACTTGCCAAGTCTTGGGACGAATGTGCAAAACCAGAGTTTGGATCATAAATCTAATGCATTTATCTATAATTACAATCAGATTAGTGAAGAGGAGATTTCATTTCTGACACGAGGAGAAGACCCATATGATGACGATGTTGTTCGTAAACTCTACCATCCAAACCTCAAATTGCTCCTTGTCACAGAAGGCCCAGCAGGTTGTCGATATTACACCAAGGTAAGCTTCCAAATGCAATCCTCTACTTGATCAATTCTTTGAAATGCAATTTTAGGGGTCACGCCATTTTTTTCTAGTAGAACCAGAACAGTGTAAGGATTTGATCTTTTAGACTTGAAAAATCAATACACTTGCCACTAAAATTCATATATTTACCCTCCCTTATGAAGATGAATTTACGAAACCTACGACTGTTAAAAACTCATTAATCATTATCATGTGCAATGGGCGGAAAAGGAACTCATTGTCATCAGCCCATACATTAGAAAGACCCTTTATTCACTTACATAAGCTCTAGTTTCTTAAGACTGCAAGAATCTTGTATATATTAACAGGAGTTTAATGGAAGAGTTGCGGGGTTGAGGGTGGAAGCTGTGGACACTACTGGTGCAGGAGATGCCTTTGTAGCTGGTATACTGTCGCAATTAGCATCCGATGAATCATTGCTTCAGGTACTAATGCATCTGACTGTTAATGTATATTTAGCTTTTGATGTACCAAAAAAGTCAAACTATGTTAATCTTTTTGGGACAGAGGAAGTATAATTTATTTATTAATGATGTTACTCGTCTCTTCGGAACATTAACATGGCGATGATTTTTGAATTTGTGAAGAACGAGGGGCGGTTGAGAGAGGCTTTGAGTTTCGCGAATGCTTGTGGCGCTTTGACTGTGACAGAGAGAGGCGCGATCCCCGCCCTGCCCACAAGAGAAGCTGTCCTCAGCGCCATGCTTCTCAAACCAGCAGCAGCTTGAGAGAATGCATGCAACTGAAGCTGATGTTGTACCTCTGTTTCACACTTCTTTAAGGTAAGCGACATTTTCAAACATGCATTGTAATACTATTTGCTGGTTTTCCTCCCTTGTGGATGTTACATGTGTTCTTTAAATCATTAGGCTGTAAGTGTGGCATAGAGCCTGGATATGTGGAGAAAAAAAAGAGGCTACCATAGGAGGAGCCCTAGCGTCAAAGGTGGGGTTTTTTTGGTAATGAATGCGTCACAATGTAGGATGTGCAATGTTGAAATGGTAAGGAACCAACTCAACCAAAAGTTCTAGTTTGTGATTGTAAGATCGGAAAAGATTTTGAAATTCTAATTAGTCCATCACATGTAGACATGGTCACTTCGGCCCTAATCACACGTCAAAGAATCAACTCAACCAAAAATTCAAAGTTGTGGTTGTAGGTCTAGAAAAGATTGTTATATTTTAACATAAATGAATAAGTGTCCAACACTAGAGGGTGTGTGTGAATAGTTTGGCACAATAATGTTAGTAAATTTCCACGAAATAAAAATGCATGGATAAAAAATAAAGTGCAGATAGTAAAGCAACTAAGACTAAAAGCACATATTTTTATACTGGTTCACCCCAATTTGTGGCTAGTCCAATTTCCGAGAGTCTCTCAGGATTCTATACTTCGTTAAGCTTACGAGTGCTTAACAAGACGTTACAACTGCTCGTAGATGTACCATATACAACTAATACAAGATTTCACACCGTATGGACTCGCCCAAGACTTCAACCATTAAAAATACGGGTACCTAGCAGATCAGATTAGAACTAACTTTAGATATATTTTGAATCAGATCAGAACTTAATAAAATCTGATCATATTCAATCCAATCAGATTAGACAAAGAGAACATGCTTTAAGTCTCGAGAACTGATTTTTTCTGGTTTGCTGAAAAATCTAGAAATTCACTCGAAGCCAGTTAGCCAACAACCAATTGTCCTGGTTCAAGCTCAACTTAACGAAAATCGATAGGTTTGTCTAGACAATTTATTTTTATCTAAATGCCAGGTAAATTTTGTTGGCTTTGTATGCATCAATTGTCTCGTGGCAGAGGCTATGTGGGTCAAATCACATTCGAATGTCATAGGCGCTTGTGGGTGCTGAATGCACTATAAGGCTAGAGTATGTGTTTTTTCTAACACCAATTAGTTTTAGAAGAGCGGGTAGCGCATGAAGTTTTTTAAATTTCACGAATGTTATACGAGTTTTCAGCAATATTTCATTTAGCTACATAAACTTTAAATCATATTACAAAAATTTGCCAACTTTCAAACTTCTTTCACTAGTGGTCCATAATGAGGCCGGAACTCTTCTCTCACTTGCATGAACCGCCAACGCCCACCATTAAATATTAGATCAAAGATTGGATGGTTTGGAGTGAGAGTGCTCACCCAATGGTGTCACTCATAGTGACTCATAGTGATTTTTACATACGAATCTTTCCCGGTACAATCACATATGGAGTATTTATTTTGAAAGTGGGGCACTTTTTTGTATGAGTTGATTGATCTACATGCATATATAAATAACATACCGGAGAGTCTATTTCATCTTTTTTGAGCAAGGGATTACACGGAATTGTAATTGAATTAGGAGTTGAAATTCTATGAAATTGATTTCAATGTAATTAAATTCTCCCATTCTAAATTATTTTTGGCGCTACCAATTCCAAACTCACATATTTTAGTGCTACCAAAGAGCAAATTTGAAATTGTTATATCTAATTCTAGTTCCGTAGTTTGATGAATTTCGTGTACCAAATGTAGCTTAGGTATTCATATAGCTTTGGCTCGCCATTGACCTTACGATCTACGGAGTATTCTCTAATGTCTACATTAATAAACTTGATCACTTGTTCAAGGGCTAAAAGAATAATACTCTCTCTCAAATTAAACTTTCCATTTTGATTTACATTTTTTATTGAAATTATTTTCAATTCATTTTATATAAAAATTGGGGTGAAATTAAAATATAAAGGTCACATACTTAAAATTTACATCAATAAAATTTGAAAAAAAAGAGATAATATGACTATTATTTTATCAAATACTCCGTATGTAATAATTATAGATAAAGAAAGTAATTAAAATTTGACAATATAATAATAAACATACAGTTTAAATTGGGGGTCATGGTTGGAGTAATTTTTGTGTGGACCTATGGGTGTGAGGGCCTTTATTCTTACAACAAAAAAGTTCACAACAATTCTTACAACAATGCAATTGAGACACTTAAGGTATTTTGTTCGTAAAATTGATTGTTCCTACTTTTTTAATCACCTGGTAATCCCCCAAGGCCCAAACCCATCCCGTCCCTAATGCAGCCCCTCCAATTGCACTACTTTTGATTTCGTTGACTTTGTGGTCAATTTTTTTTAATACCAAATTTGATGGTCACTTGCACCAAGCCTCAAACTCACAGCTAACCACTTGAACACATTTTTGTTATAGAACTCATATAATCATATTACATTCACCACAAAAACAATACAGAATCGCAACGACATTAACGGTAACACCATATTACTCCGTAATATGTTAAGAGTTACATACACAACAGATAACTATGATACCAATTAAGGTATAGTACACAATTCAAATCTCATTAACATGAGGAGTGGCATTGGGTAGTGACCCTAATTAGGAAGGTGGATGAATGGGTACCCATTGCAACTCGAGCTCCAACTCGCCGCACTCAACATTCTTCAGCCCAAGCACCATCTTCTGCACAACCTTACCGTTCTCCCATACTATGCCACTCTCCTTCGCGAGGCAATTCTCTCTGCTCGGTTTCACCTTAGTTATTACACTCCCGCTCGGGGTGTCGCGCATGTCCATCTTTACAGCTTCCATCAATGGCTTGACGTCAAACTCTGCGTCACCCATTTTGTCATCCATACTGAATGTGTCCTTGTCGTACACTTGCTGCAACGGTTTTGTTTTTGATCATTAATTAATTGAAATATTTGTACTAAATAGCACTAAAACTTAACCCATTTCCTTAAATAACACTTAATAATGTCCATAGTGTCCAGTGATGACGAACATTTACTTGAATAATGACTAATGCATAATGACTAAAAGTGAAGTACATGTGATGTTATTTAGAGAAAGTCATTATGTTTTAGTGCTATTTATGTAAGTTCCCCAGAGATTGAAATACTGAATCCAATAGTAATAAGAAGAGGTACCAATTTGACGGGGAGATTAGGGTCGGAAACGGAGAGAGTGAGGTCTTCGTTCCACTCGGGATTCACATTGTTCTTCACCACTCTGGTCTTCAACTTCTGTTTGGCCAGGCGAACGACGACGTAAGGGTCGCTGGTGGAGATGTCTCTAATGGCCAAGTTCACGCCTCTCTGGATATGAATCCGGAGAAGGCCCATCAAGTTCTCCATTGACGACGACGAAGCTCCGCCGTGATTATCACCTCTGTGCTTCATTTAATTTCCAGTCCGGTGATCGATAATAATGGTGGATTGGATTGCTCACCAAAAAAAAAAAAAAAAAAACCCAAACCCCAAACCACCCACCCTAAGAGACTTGATGGAGGAGACCATTTAAAGGATGGGGTTGGTTTACAATTTTCCAATTTTTTCATTATTACCGGAGCCTATTATTTTTTGACTTTAAAGTTTACGCGCAAATATTTACAGCACAACCTTTTGCCTCGCTGTATTTGTACAATTGACTTTTTACACCACCTGGATAAATGTTTCGTAAAACACGTTTTTTAGTTACTGTTAACGCTTAACAGAGTTCCCATATTATACTCCACTCTCCATCACTCGCAACTCGCAAAGGTAAAAAATAAAATAAGAACAAAATCCTTAATTAGAAGACACCTCGATTTAATTTTGTGAGTCGCAAATTCATTTTTATTTTTAGCAAATTTGCGGGGAATATTTTTTTTTTTAGTTTAATGTCCAATTTTACTCGGCTACTAGATATGACGAGTAAAAATAAGATGTAATCGTAGATTAATCGTGAATAAATGTGATGTACTTGATTTGTGATATGTTAGATAAGTAGTCACAAATTTTAAACTCATTGTCGGTCATAATCTTTTAAAAATTATTAACACTATGTTTGATTGAAAGAATTTGAAAGAGAAAAAAAAAGAAATTAAGATGAAAACCAGTTCTTATTTGGTTCATTAGAAAAATGGATCTTAAAAAATGAAAAGATAACATATACTTAGAGGAAGAAAAATTAAATTTCTTCCATTTTAGTAAGAAAAATGAGAGAAACTCAATTTCTTTTCTTTCTCTTCCCAATTCTTTGAACAAAACATATTGCAAGACTTCGTGCACATGCAAAACTCAAAGCGATTTTCGTTTTATTTGACAATTTTTTCTTGATGTAACTTTGGGCCCAAAAGCTCAGTGAACAAATATGGGTATAACTTTCAGCTCATGAATGAACAATTATTTTTACCCCGGAGTAGTCAAGTAATTTCTCTAGAAATAATGGTGCTTCACAATGGGCTTAAAAATATTAAGAATAAAACTAAGCCCCGTTCCGTTTAACTTATTTTTTCTTATTTTTTCTTATTCTTATTAAAATCAGATTAGATCAGACCAGATCAGATCAGATCGAATCAGATCAGGACTTATTAAAATCAGATCCCATCAAGAATTATTATTATTATTATTATTATTATTATTGTTGTTGTTGTTGTTGTTGTTGTTGTTCTTGTTGTTGTTGTTCTTAAAAATGAAAAAGAATAAACTTTAGCAATAGGTTAAATAGAAAACTGAGAAAGTAATCCTTAATTATTAGACGTCGGAAAAATTATTTTTAAAATACATTGACAATGTCAATCTAATTCTACTTTTAAAATATATTTTTATTGCTACTTGTAATTTGAGTTTATAAAATTTTGATCTTTTATAAAGATGAGATATTTTAATAAAAATACTATCTCTTCTATATATTGATTATCTAAATTTAATTACTTTTTAATGTATATCTAAATTAAATATTTATTCTAATGTATATACGGAGTATGAAGTAATTATTAAAATATTAAATTAATATTCTAATTTCAAAAAAAAATAATCATAAAATAAAAAATATTATTACATTATAATATGTATTATTATTCTAATATATGAATTAACTATTTTTATTTTATTAAAAAATAATTATTAAATAAAAAATATTGATTATGTTATAATATAAATTATCATTACAATTTTCAAACATTATTATAAAGTCAAATCAAATTATTGATTTAAAATTTTAAATTAAATCATAATTAATCATATCAGACCAGATCAGATCAGATAAGAACTTATTAGAATCAGATCAGATCAGAAAAAATAAGTTGAACGAAACGGAGCCTAAAATTCATCAAAATGGGATATCCCATTTGTACACCAGACAAACACAAATACTTATTAATATCTGTATATTATAGATACTAAGTGTCTATATTTATCTGATGTACAAACGAGATACTCTAATTTGGTATAATCCTAGCATTCCTAGCATGCCTCGAATGTTAAACAACTCATTAAAATGTCACAGAAAAAAACAGCTTCCTTCAAAAACAAAAACAGATAGTTCATGTTCTGACATTATTATGTAGCTAATTAATTACATACACCGATCCCTACATTATTCGCTAATTCTGACGTGCCGGCGGCAGAACTGGTGTCTCCGAGGGAACTCGTCGTCGCTGCGGCGCCCGTCGTCGAAGTTCTTAGAGTAACTGGCGGCATCGTAATGAAACGACGACGCCGGCTTGGATCTGCACAGCCCCTTCCCGTCATTCACTAGTTTCCTAATAATCCTCCGCCACGACGACGGGGACTGTTTCCGGCACCCGCCGCCGTTTATCCGGGAGTACACTTCGTGCGCGGGCACGGCGAAGGAGGGCGACACGCAGCCTCCGTAGAAGCCGTGAGGTTGCCGGCGGCGAGTCGGATCTGGCCCCTTATCCATATAATTACACACTCTATAGAGTATCTAGCTAGCTGTCTGATCTTCCTCCGATCCGGGCACGGAAACGAACTTGGCGGTAGAATTGATGAATGAAGAAGATGGATGGAGGATGATTGAAAATGGGTTGGGACCGTTTGATCTTATAACGGAGTTCCGACCCGATTAAATGAACGGGGGGAAAGGGCAACGTTATCCTTACAGTCACGAGCTGTCAGAAATGGTTTTTGATTAGAGAGAGAGAAGGAAAGAGATATTCATTCAGTCGTAAGTACTGCCTATGCATGTGTTCTGGTTATTCATGTCTTGTTTGTGGAACCCACGCTCAAAAGTATTTTTTTTTTTCAATTGGAAAACAAAAATGCAAAGAAAATCCTACATTCAATATCCAATAAGCACACATAACTAGCTCAACGGGTCTAAGAAAAAGATGTCAAGTTTATAAATTCTAGAGTCAGATCCGACAATGATAGTGTGAGAGTTCTATTTTTTATATAGCCCTTTTTGCATATCAGACACGGTGTGACCTCTGTAAAATCCGATTAAAATTATACATTGATTTATTTATGTCACTATCGTGTGAGGAAGAGGCGTGGGGGTGGCAGGGGTGGGTGTTTCATATTTTTAAAAAAAATACATAAACAATAACGCTTTATATGATAAATGTACGTCTTTGTGTATCTCAAAGAAACTATAGAGTCAAAATTAATCCATTTATTCTTCAAATTTAACTTTTCACAATCTCCAATGTAATACTCCCTCCGTCCAAAAAAGAATTTCCCACTTTCCTTTTTGGTCCGTCCACAAAAAAACTTCTCGTTTCCTTTTTTGGAAACTTTTTGTAAATGAAATGTCAATTGTGCCCTTATCCAATTCTTCTTCTCCCTTTCTTCTTTCTTCCGTTTTTCTTTCTTTTTCTCCTTCTTCATTCTTTTTCTTCTTCCTTCTCCTGAATTCTTCTTCCGCATCTTCTTTCTTTATTGTTTTATTTTCTTCCTTCTTCCTTCTTCTTCTTATGCTTTCTTCTTCCGTCTTCTTCTTCTTCTTTCTTCATTTTTTTCTTTTTTTTTCTTACTTCTTCTTTCATCAACTAAAAGAAGAAATATTTTTTCAGATCTCTGGGTTGCATCTTCACCAGATCTAGATTTGCAGTGACAATATTTTTAATTTTTTCCAGATCTGTGGTGGAATTTTGATTTTCCTCAACGAGAAGTCTCAAAACAGATCTTTTCGAGGGATTTGGATTGCAGGTATGCGACGGCGATGGATGTGGATTGCGACGGAGAGAGGATGCTGGGAGCTGCGATGGAAGGGGGCTTGCGACGGCGGGGCGCTGCAAAGG